TGTTGCATCCCTCCAGAAGATGTACAAACACTTAGTTGGATTGCCCTTGCAGCAAATAGATAGAGTACAGCCTGTACTGCTAATTGGCTCAGATTGTCCACACCTTGTTACCCCAATTGAGCCTGTTCACCTAGGCCCTCCAGGAGGACCTGCTGCAGTTCGAACTAGGCTAGGCTGGACTCTGCAAGGCCCTACACACGAGATCAAGCATAGACTCAACACTCACCAATGCCTCTTTACTGCCATCTCCCCCAATGCTGATCTGTTTGCCCAAGTGGAAAAGCTATGGCAGATGGATGTAATTCCGTACCGCAGTGAGAAGGTAGTGACGCGGTCAAAACTTGATGAAGAGACCATCAGACTCTTGCAAGAGAAAACGGTAAGAGTTAACGTGGATGGTGTCATGCGTTATGCGACCTCACTCCTTCGCATACAACACATGCCAACTCTGCACATGCCAAAAGAAGCTGTTCTGCCGCAGCTAAGAAGCATTGAGCGAAAGCTGATGAAGAACCCTGATTAGGCCTGTGCTTACAAAACTGAAATTGAGAGACTCAAGAATGCTAACTATGTAGAGAAACTGCAACCATGCGAGGCTGAGAGATCACAAGAATCATGGTACATCCCTCACCATATGGTCACGCACAATGGCAAGAATCGGGTCGTTTACAACTGCTCATTTCAGTATGAGGGCCAGAATTTGAACGAGCTGCTTCTTCCAGGTCCCACCTTAAGTCCAACCCTGTTGGCAGTGTTACTACGCTTCCGTGAACATTCCACAGCCTTAAGCAGTGACATCCGTGGGATGTTTCATCAGGTGAGGCTGCTCCCTGATGACAAACCTTTACTCCAGTTCCTGTGGAGAGACATGACTTTAGAACAAGCACCAGATGTGTACCAGTGGCAGGTACTTCCCTTTGGGACTACTTGCAGTCCCTGTTGTGCCACGTTCGCCCTGCAAAAGCATGTGCTGGACCACAGTCAACCAGGAGATGAGGTGAGAGAGGTCATAGAGAAGTCCTTCTATGTTGACAATTGTCTCCACAGTCTCACCTCTAAAGATGCCGCCAAAATTTTTGTTGATCAACTCTGTGCCCTGCTAAATGAAGGAGGCTTTGAATTGCGACAATGGTCTAGTAATTGCCCGACAGTGGTTGCTCACCTTCCCTCAGAAATAAGATCGAACAGCTGTGAGCTCTGGCTTAATCAGGGACTGCAAGATACCCATGAATCTACCCTTGGACTGCTCTGGCATTGTCAATCAGACACTTTGCACTACAAGCACAGGATAGTGAATTGCACTAAAGTAACCATGCGCAGCATTTATCGTGTCCTGGCCAGCCAATACGATCCCCTCGGCTATATTATCCCATACACCCCTCGAGCAAAAATGCTGGTACAGCACCTATGGGATAAAAAGCGTGACTGGGATGACCCGCAACTGCCGGAAGAGCTGCTCAGCTTATGGAGTTCACGGGAGAAAGAACTGAGTGATCTGGAAAAGATATCACTACCAAGATGCTATTCCAGTCCAGACTTGGATCTCCCAACTAGCAGACGTGATATACACGTATTCTGCAATGCATCGGAGCAGGCCTATGGATCCGTGGCCTATTTGTGGACAGAAAATACAGTAGGCCAAGTTGAAGTTGCATTTCTAGCGGCCAGATCACGAGTTGTCCCCCGAAAGCAGCAGTCTATACCTCGCCTTGAACTATGCGCAGCTCTGAGTGGTGCCCAGCTCTCCAAGGTCCTTGTCACAGAACTCACCATCCCCATTGGTTCCTTAACACTCTGGTCAGATTCTATGACTGTACTTACCTGGCTGTTGTCAAGTTCTTGTCGTTACAAGGTGTTCGTGGGAACTCGGGTGGCGGAGATACAAGAACTCACAGCATCTGCGACCTGGCATTACATACGATCCGAGGTAAATCCTGCGGACAGCATCACAAGAGGTAAATGCCTGTGTGACGTAATAAAAGGAAGCCAGTGGGATCAAGGTCCTTCATTTCTCAAACTGCCGCCAGCGAATTGGCCCAAGTAACCTTTCTTGCCTACTGAAGAACAGAGTAATGAGTTGAGGCAGTCTGCATTTTGTGGATCGACTACAGTTATACCTTTGCCAAATCCACAGCAGTATGACACACTGACCGAGTTCATAAAGGCATGCAGTCAGCAGCTTCACGGGGTGGCGAACATTACATGCGCTGACAAACAGATAGAGGTAGAACGAACAGTGCTTTGTCAAATGCAGACCAAGTCCTTCCCTACCGAGATGGTCCAACTGAAGTCTGGGAAACCAGTATCCGGTACGAGCAGGCTGGCTTCTCTCTCTCCTGAGTTTGACCCTACCAGTGGTCTTATTCATGTGGATGGACGTCTAAGACGCTGCAGTGAGGCAGAATTGGATTCTATTCATCCCGTCGTCCTTGCCCCTCAACATCCTGTGACCAAACTCATTATCAAGGATTATGATAAGAAACTGCACCACCCTGGGCCAGAATGAGTGTTCGCAGAGTTAAGGAGGACTTACTGGGTATTGCGAGGCCGTGAAGCAGTACGGCGACACCAACATCAATGTAGAGCGTGTCGAAAATGGAAGGGACAACCAGAAGTTCCTCGTATGGCTGACTTGCCACTTGCAAGACAACAGCTCTTTAAGCCTGCCTTCTTCTCAACTGGCATGGAATGTTTCGGACCCTACATGATTAAGATCGGACGCCGAAATGAGAAGAGGTGGGGCATATTATTCAAGTGCCTTACGACCAGGGCTGTGTATATAGATCTGTTGGTAAGCATGGATTCAGACTCCTTCCTGATGGCCCCAAGACGCCTTATCTCTCGACGTGGGAAGCCGAACGAGTTGTTAAGTGATCAAGGCACTAACTTCAAGGGTGGAGAACGAGAGCTGAAGGAGTCCTTTGCTGCTTTACATGAGGAGCTACAAGACCATCTTGCCTCACAGAAAATCAAGTTCGTCTTCAATCCACCAGGAGCACCCCACTTTGGTGGATGCTGGGAGAGGGAGATACGTTCAATTAAAACGGCTCTCCAAGTTACCTTAGGGGTGCAGACTGTGACGGAAGAAGTTTTGAGAACAGTGTTAACTGAAATTGAGGGGATCCTTAACTCAAAACCTCTCGGCTACACATCCTCTGACATCTCTGACATCGACCCAATCACCCCCAACTGCTTCCTCATTGGATGCAGAGATGCCTCCTTGCCCCAGGTGGTGTACCAAGACTCGGGAGTGCTAAGTCGACGCCTCTGGAGACACAGCCAACTGTTAGCCGACCACTTCTGGAGGCATTTCATTAAGTTCTATCTGCCCAGTCTCCAAGTTCGACAGAAATGGAAGTCGGACAAGGGAAATCTACAAATTCGTGATGTAGTGATGATTGTTGACCCTCAGCTCCCTCGAGCTTTGTGGCCAGTGGGGAAAATCTCAGAACTGCACCCAGGAGCAGATGACAGAGTAAGGTCAGCCACTGTGCAAGTTGAGAGAAGGCCGTATACTCGACCTGTAGCTCGTCTTATCAAGCTACCAGCCCTATCCGATGAAGAGTAATCCACTTGAAGGATAAGTCCTTTTGTCAAGATGTACGAATTCAATCATTGAATTCGGGGGCGGCTGTTCAAAAGGCTTCTCGAACTTTCTTCCTGTGACCAATCAACATTTGCAATGTCACCATCGTGTGCATCACGTGCGGTCAGGAAGTGGAGCAGGTGCGCTGAGCAGACATGCAGAACGCGAACTCTTTTCATGAGCAAACCGCTTCATCTCACATTTGTCGGCAACATCTGAAACTTACTGATGTAATATAGTTGTGCGTGCATATAAAGTAAGTGTATTTTGTTGTTCTTTATTTAAATCTGCCGATTATTTGATCCCGCGAGTGAGATTCATCTAGCACTATTGCGCCATACTTATGTGTGTGTTTACGACATCAAATAGATGATTGTCACCGTTAAGCTTACTTTCATGCTCATTATAGCTGATGCAAGTAATGTTAAGTATTTACCGTGATGTATGTTAACGTCTTATCGAGTTATTTCGCGATTAATGTCTCGCTGTTTACAATATAAACCAGAGGTTTAACACAGCAAAAGAGAAACTCCCATTCACAAAATTCAAATTACAAATAATACTACTGATAATAAAGAACGGGTTGAATGTGAACCACTTTAGTTTCCATATAACTATAAACTATGTGTGACGAGAGGGGCGGGGCCGAGAGCCGTGGGAATGGAGCGAGGCCGGTGGAGTAAATGCTAATGCACGACACCTGCGCCACTCACCGGTCTCGAGTCCCACAGAGGAGCTCCGGAAGGATAAAAGGAGGAGTGACGACAGTGTTGGACGAGAGAGGACCAGGCCTGGACTTCATTTTGTGTGCGGCAGTCGTCCGCGAGGGGCTGCCGCTTTACTTTCATTTTGTGTTTGTTTATTTTATTAAAGTTTTGTTTAAATGTTCGCCGGTTCCCGCCTTTTTCTTACCGTGACTACGAACTGTGTTACACTATGATAAAAGTTCATCAGCATGCATTGAACAATCCCATGTTGTAGCGCAAAAATAAATAAATAAATATATTGCGACCATATCATATGCTCGTGACCAGCTGAGAAAGTTAGTTGCAAAAGAGCGACCAGTGGGAAGAATGAGTCTGGAGCCCTGTATAGGCTATACAGTGCATGAAAAGCAAACTGGTGCTCTTCTGTTTCTTTTGGTGTATGACTCCCCCTTGTCTCGTATAAAAAGCACAATAATCGCAGTTGTCTGAAACAACCGCGGTTAGATCAAATAATCGCGATTAGACCGTTATTTAATTATCGCGACAGTACTGTTAAAAGTATTAGGCACTTGTGTAAAAATGCTGTAAAATGAGAATGCTGTCAAAAATAATGTCATAAATAGATTTTCTTTATCAATTAATTTCTATTAACTAAATGAAATCAATATTTCAACATTTCATCCTTTGTGTTTAAAGCAGGTTTTGCCCTCGGTGCACTTGAGTAGAGTTCCTCAGGGAGCTTTGCAGGTAGGTTTCTTGGATATGCTATTTACCCATCATACATATAAAGTTTAAGACATCATCTAACTCCTAGACATATCAGAATGGAAAAGAACCTTACTGATGGAAATACTCCAGAGCTTATTTATATTTATTATTTTCTTCTTTTAGAATCTTTAGTTCACCTAACCTGCATGTCTTGAAACCCAGAGCAAAGCCACGCTGACACAGGAAGAACATGCAGAAAGGCCTCCCGTCGGGACTCTTGAACCCTGCTGCTTAAGCATGATTTGTTTGTTTTCATGATGTCACTAGATTGGATTTGAGTGCTGTTTTCAATTAATTAATTTGAAAATTCTATAATATTCTAATTCTATCCTTAAAAAAGTTGTCCCTTTTAGACTTGCACTCTATTAATTTACTGCTTGTTTTCTTTTTTAAAAAGTAACTAGTTTTTCTAATCGTTTTGTATTCTTTTTTGTTTTCTTTTTATTTATTATACAATTAACAAAAGCAAAAAAGGCATCTAACACTAGCTTGCTCTATTCTTTTATTATTCTATCCGTTTTCTTTTTATTTATTATATTATGTTAAAAAATTACTACGTGTACTGCATTGAGCTAACTGAGACTTGTTATAGCACTTGCATATCATTTCTCTTTTGTTGATTTTGATTGCTTCCATTGTCCTCATTTGTAAGTCGCTTTGGACAAAAGCGTCTGCTAAATGACTAAATGTAAATGTAAATATGTCAAATGCCTTGATGGCGAAATTCAATATGAGGGGTGGTGGCCAACTTGAAAAGAAGCCATTCAAAGCTACCCCTTTATACTATGTGATTCAAGGTAATTTTGGCCTTATGACATTCAAAAAATCTCTTGTTCCTTGTCTATTATTTATATAATTTTTATTGTTACCCTTTATCTATTCAGGGGATGTTCTCTAAAAGACCACCTGTCTTTATCAAAAGTGTCATGTTAACTTTCACAGAGTTACACCTACACTGTTAAAAAAAAGAAGTTATTTTACAGGTAATTGTCTGTATTTGTTTTACAGAAATTTCCCTTTTTTTCATTATATGATGAAATACCTGTTGTTTTACACATATTTTCTGTATTTTAAAGTTCCACCATTAAATTTACAGATAATTTATTGTATTTCGGTATTACATAAATGTTCTGTTTTCTTAAAGGAAATTGTCTGTATTTTCACAAAGTAATGTGTAATTTTACATAAAATGTTATTTAATATTTACAGATTATTCCTGTAAAAATAGGGAAAATAATTTTTTTGAACCACAAATCATTCAGTCAGTGTTTTTTTAGCCTATTGAAGATCTTTAATCATGTGAGGGTTAAAGTGAGGTTTTTAAGGTCAAATAATAGTATTTGTACATGTACTGTAAATGATGCATTGTTTATTTCACTACTCTTTTAACCTTGTCTTGCAAATAAATGCTCATTTGAATCATTATTCGGTACAACTCGGATTTAGGATATTTCCCACTTCAACCCGGAAATAATTTATGGAACGTCGCTCTTTTAATGTTTAAAGATATTTGCAATGTTTTAATGCTACTAATCATTAGTAACAATAATGTTACCAAGTAGCCTACTTTAAATGTTACTAAATCCAGACGTTACTTCCGGGTTTGTGGTGAGAAATATTCCACATCTGAGTTGTATGCAGCATTAGTATAACCATAACCAAGTAATATTAGATAACCAGAAAAATTTAAATACACAATGCAGAATTTCTAAAGAAAAAAAAAAACATTTCATAAGGCTATAAATAAAAGTAGTTTTTATGCATTCAAATAATTAGACATTAAAACACAGAATATGGTAACAATAAACAAGGTGAAAAAAATAGAACATTTCATAAGACCCTAAACATGTCATTTGTGTTAAACTTTTTAATAGATTTGATGTTGAATTGTATACGTTTCATTATTTAATTAGACGTGCTTTTGATTAATACAATTTAATTTAACCATTTACAAAGGAGTCCAGAACAATTTTAAAATCGAAAAAAAAAAAAAACAGAATCCAAAAATGTTTTAATTTGGAATGAAAAAAATATGGAATTTAGAAAAAATAAAACGTATTTCATAGGGTCCTAGCATAGTTATTTATTTATTGTGGTGATTTGAAGGTTGTGTCAAAAAGTTGTTGTTCTAGTCAAGTAGATAAATAGCTGTATTGTGTACCTTTTTACTTGTGTACGAACATTTTCTTCCAAATACGATAATTTTGAGCTTCTGGTACGATACTTGGACATTTCCAATCTGGCAACACTGGTGCCCAGGATGGTTGGCTGAACTGTTTCTGTACCGTACGATGCAACAGCGATGGAAAGGCGGCCAAATTATTTAAATTTATTTCAGGCTATCCATTCAGAAATGTGTGAGATAATAACGCACTCTTTCTTCAGTGAGCATGTTTCGCCAACTACAACACATTTTGACGATACTACAGCAGCCATCATACCAACCAGCTAAGTCTTTCATACGACATATTTTATATAGTGTGGCTGCACATTTGTTAAGTGTACTTCCGAAGCTAAGATGAGCATTTCTAAATGGTGTTCAGTCACATCCCTGTTGAAAAAACCAGCACATGCTGGTTAGGTATGTTTTGAAGCTGGGATGCTGGTTTGAGCTGGTCCTTGGCTGGTTTAAGCTGGTCCTTTGCTGGTTTATGCTGGTACTTTGCTTTTTTCAACAGGGATAACTGGCTTCGATAGCTGAAAGGCAAAACACTGAAAACTGCAGCATTTTTGTAAGAAAGATCAGTTGACCTGAAAAGACTCAAAACAAGCTTTAGTAAACTTATTCATATTAAAGTTTGTTCAAGTGTAACGTTATAAAGTCTTTGTGTCAGGGAGAAAGATTGAGGATCAGTGTTGCCAACTGCTTTCAATTGAAAGTAGCTAAAACTGGTAGCTAAATTATTATCTTTATTGTATGTAATGTATTATACTTTCTGTGAAACATGTGCAATGGGTTTGTAAAAGCTGTTTTTATGCATATTTTAGCCTGAGTTTTTGTTGCATTTACACACTTTTGACCAGCTGGCGTCACCAGCGTGTGGTGTTTCGAGTGCTTTGAACCAGTGAATCATTTTTCGAAGCAATTGTTTCAATTGATTCAAAGCTTCGAAAAGGTTTGTTTCTCCCATCCAGTGTTGCCAACTGTTTTCAATTGAAAGTAGCTAAAACTGGTAGCTAAATGCCACTAGATGACTGACATAACAATGGCAAAATCACTGATCTATATAAAGATGAACGTAGATCAGTGGGCAAGATGAGAACTTGGATAAGGTTTGTCCAAGAAGTTGCTATATTTGTCCCTAAACTTTTGAAAAAATCCCAAAAGGGGCAGGGAAGTCACTAAATCTAGCTACAAAGTAGCTAAATTGGCAACACTGATGAGGATTCAGTAGCAAATGTGCAAAAACAACATTTATTGGGAATTCTCAACAAAGAAGATGACGAGAGTCGGACAGGGGAAAGGTGAAGGTAACTCCGAGTAGCGCAGGGACACAAACGGGCAGCCGACACTTGAGGATCCGTGCAGCGAAGCCCACGGCAGAGGAGAGAAGGAAACTCCAGGAACTGGTCATAGACAGAGACACGAACTGAACACGGTAGCAACATCAAACGATCTGACAACACAGGACAGAAAACACAGACATTAAATAGGCCAGCTGATAAGCCACAGCTGGCGCTGATCACCGGCAACACAAGCCAAACCAACACCCACAATGACACGGAGAGGGCTCGAATGAGTCAGTGAGCCCATGAACCGTGACACTTTTCTCATCTGGAAGTACCCGCCAGTTTTTCACACATTTTGAAATGCTGAACATGGCTAACTGTATCAAAACAGTGTTGAGAGTGAATTCAGTAGGTTGCAAGTTACACCTTATATTGATTATGAATATAAACGCAACATGGTAGATGCTTTTTTCACCTGTCATATTCTACTGTACAGGTACATGTATATAGTATATTTTATTAAGAAGTGTACAGAATTTGGTCCTCCATTGTCACTGTCTTAATGCGTTAAGCGTTTTGTAATGGTTTTCTATGGGAAAACACTTAACTTGAAATTAAAAAGTGTTGCATTCACATTCTGGGCTCATTTGCTCACCTATACATATTATGTGTTTATAAGTGCGTATGTTAATCTTATAAGTAATAATTTATATAATCTTTGTGTTCTGATGAGGAATGAAACATACCTCTTGAGGCCTGAGGCCGAGTAAACTGTCGTTACATATTGGATCTTTGATTATGAAAATTGCATCTATCCTGGACTAGGCCTATATGATGCAGCTAAGTCAAAGTAAATAATATAAATTTACTTTCTATAAATTTAGCTAAAATCACATGGCAGACCAAAACATCACTGTTAACCTTCCCAGGGGGCTGTTTCATAAAAATAAGTTTACCAAATAAGCCAGGATTATTTCATTTAGTCTGACTTCTTGTCAATTGATTTGGTTCAAAATAAGTCAGACTAACTGAAATAAGCCTGGATTATCTGGTAAACTAGTTTTATGAAACAGCCCCCTGCTCAGCTTTCAGATCATTTTCTCCGTGGAACATAATGTGTGAATGTAATACAAAGTATTAAAAAACGTTTTTTTGGTTTCAGGCCGTGTGGAAAGACTGTGGTGATCTACAGCAGATAAGCATGGCAATTCTGGTGTGGAACAAGTTAACTTTTGTTATTATTATTATTAATGTTATTTAAATCTGTAATCAGCATAGACAAGTGTTCTAATGCCATATGATAATACAACAAATTATGTATTTTCTTTTCATGCAGCTCTTTCTTTCTTTCTTTCTTTCTTAAATGGTTCTTCTTTGTGTATAATTTTCAGTTCCTATGTGGTAAGGGGTAAATAAAAAAAACCAAGGACCATTTAAAACCAAAATCAGTGTAAAACAGCTGCATGAAAAGATGTCTGTTAATTTTATTGTATGAGGGGAAGCACTTTTATAGAAATCTACATTATGTATTGTAACAACAGTCATTGTTGTTTTAAGCAGAAGCCAAAGTTTATAGTTAAACAGTAGTGCTTTGTTTCATTAACTGGAACCATATGGATTACCTTTATGCTTTCTACATTACATTTTTGGATAATCAAAATGTTGGTATACGCACTCAGATGCATTTTATGCCTCAACAGATCTTGGTCAACTTTCTAAAAAAACTCCAAATGTGATCTGCAGAAGAAAGAAAAACATCTCGGAAGGCATGAGGGTGAGTAAAACATAAGAGCATTTTCACCTTTGGGTCGGGCTGGGTATTCGATACGTTTTAGGCACTGACCGAATTGCCTCGAAACATTGAGTTTAAAAAAAATGTCTTGCTGTTCGATACTACATTTAATACTTCAATGTCAGTGATACAGTAAGCATGCAGAATGCTTGATGTGCCCAAATCAAGTGCTGGTGAATGTCTGTGGAGAGGCATCAAGGGGTTTAAGAGTTTGAAAAAATCAGGAACCAATTTTGTTGTTCATTTAACTTGACATGTAATGCTTTTGTACAATGACTGATACTGTGAATGTGCAGGTTCCTTTAATAAGTACAGAATACATTGTTAATTTGACAGAAATTGGCTGAAAATGTTCCTATTTTTTTTACATATTTCTAAGTACTGTGCTCATTTCGCTACTGTCCAAACATTTTAAACTGTAATATGAACAATTGCAATGTATACCTACAGACATTTGTCGTTGTATTACAAATGTACTACCTTTTTATACAACATTTCTTTGTTATTGTAATTAATAATATCTGTATTTCAACTAAATGATTCTAGGTAGACATAAAATAACTTCTAAATACCTTTTAATTTACAGAGATTGGTTGAAGTTGTGAACTTGTTTCTGTAAAAAAGAAGGATTAATCCTGTAAATATACAAACTTTTTTTTTTAAATATGTGCTTACTGCATTTTTATAAATTATTTCGTAGTTATTGCACATGGAAAAACTGTACTTTAAAAGTAAATTACTGTAGATAGACAGATCAGTTTGATAAAATAACTCATTAAAACGATTAACCTGAAAGTTGGTTGTTTTTCTATGTAATTTGACATAATTTATCTGTTTTTCCATAGTTTAAAAACAAATTATGAACAGTAATATACTGTAATTTAATTAATTTTGACCGTAAAGTCTATTCTGTATTTTTTACAGTTTTTGCCATGTATTTTTGTGAAATGGATATTTTTTGTAATTTAACGGAATCCATCTGGAAACTCTGCTGCCAGACTTTTTGCCGTTTTTTTACAGTGTAGTTAAGGGTCTTTCTCAAGGACACCACAGTGGTATTGATGAGGGAGGGGACAAATTGCTGTTTTTTCACTAATCTAACACACATTTAATTCAGAACATCTTTTCCTCACATAAGATTATTCTAAAGTAAAATAACATGTAATACATGTTGATTACCTTTTTCTAATGCTTCATTTATGAAACGGATGCAAAATCTTTTTCCGTTGTATTTTAAATTTAGTTGTAGGACCTTAAAGACATTTTCAAAATAAGCAGGTACATGTTATTGTTGATTTTATTATTATTTAAAAAAAAATTATATTCTCTTTCCTCAGATGCTGTGAAGAGGTGAAGCCCAAATGATACAGACTCAGACATGGATGCAGCAATGCCAGAACACCTGAAGCACGCTCCAGGAAGTACCGGGGGTTGTGGATATAAAAAATTAGCCATAAACAACTTTCACAAACTCTAAAAACATTTACACCTGTGTTAACCATTATCCAGTATTTGTGTTGTTTACTTGTTTGATTTATGACTGTTTAACAATAATGCAAGACTGTTTGGGGAAAAATGGGAAAAAGACGGGACGTGACGGAGGGACGTCTTTTCAACGGTCATTAAATGTCCAAATGTTTGCTGGGAAGGCTTAGCCTTCCCCTGGCCTTGGGACTTGGGGCAAACATGCCACTAAATTGGACAAAAATGCCCCTGCACAAACAAATTAAATGTATTATGTCTGTTGCTAACAAAATGAATATGAATAGACAGTGTCGATTGCGGCATTAAATTAAGATCTGCTCATGTTGCACCGTATTTCATTTTAGGCGTTTTTACGGTGTTGCGCATGTAAACCAATCACATACAAATCTGTTGAGCTTAGGAATGCAATGGCCAATCAGAGGAGTTCAGATGAGTCATCGTTGAAACTGTTTTATTGAGAGTGTCCGCATTTGCTGACTGAATTCTGGACTCTTGCGAATTCTCTCATCATAAACATCAAAGCGCAGATGTACATACAATGTAAGTAAGAGAATCATTTCACAGTGTTTACAGCTTCAGTGATTATAACGATAGTTTTATTTTTTTTTGAGAGTGCTTAAACTTGCCATAGATCAATGTTAGTGATAATGTCACTTTCTATATATAATGTATTCGCTGTTTGAATAACCGTGGAAAGGAAACATTATACACTTATCAATTTCTAAAATTTTTATTAAATTGCAATCACGTTAAATACAAATTCAGTCCCATTAAACAATTTTTTAGCGTACATGACACCCATGTCTTGTTCTTGCCTAAAAAGACGGGTTTATGATGTTTAATACATTTGGCTTCTTTTAGCCTTACCCTGGAGTTGGTTCACTCTCCGCCTACATACAGCGCTCTGGATAAATACATCCACATCCACATCAACACGCCCCCCTGCTCCACCCACTGGTACGTACAACCGGGAGCGCTAAACAGAGAAGTGGAAAATCAGAATAATGAGTAATTTTTTATGTTAGTTCAAAAATCTAATTCGGGCGCAACAACCCAAACTCGTAAAATTGAAAATTAAAATGAGAGACAATTATCCGTTTGTAAATTGCTCCAAAGAAATTGAAAATGAAAGTTTGAAGCCAACTTTTCATTTGGTAAATTTTGATGGTGCGAATTGAACAAAGAACTGCAAAGGGTTACACGAATCTGTGTATAATTCGATCATTCGTTTTTTGATTTAATATTGAAAGGAAAACGGCTCCTTTTTCGTTTTTTTGTTTTTTTTTCGAAAAAAACGAGAAATCAGCTTAAATTTTCGTTTTTCGTTCATGGGTGGAAAAATGAATGAACAGTTTGAATATTCGATTTTTACGCGTGGGTGGGAATTAAATGCCCCTTTCTGCTGATTGGTCAGCCGAAGATCAAACCGTGCCTTCTTCAGTGCCTTCTTCAGTTCTTCCGCAGTATCACGCAGCAGAATAATAGTCCTCCACTGCTGCAGTTGTACGGATTAATAACCCATTTTATCAATTTCATATTTTTCTAATGAATAGCTCGACACAACTCGTACCGGGGCAGAGTCTAGAC